TCTCATGCTATAGCTAGAATATATCCAATCAAGCGATGATCTATAGTAAGATATTATCAAAGTTGTTCTTTACATCTAATCTTACTATTTATATCAAATTGATCATGCCTGTAAACTGGCGTGAATTATGCAATTATTATTTTCAGAATATATATATATATATATTAGTTTGAAGAGAGTTCCAAACCTGAGACTGACACCAATTATTGGAAATCAGAAAGAAATCAACAAGCGGTTCCGTCACAGCTGGAGAATCTTTCATAGTGTGCAATCAACGGACCTTAGAACCTCTAAATATCGCAGTAAAATACATTAAATCTATTGATTCATTGCTCAATAGCTTGTATTTCCAACGTCAGTCAATTAGGAATGGGGCACGAGTGTTATTCATTATTATCAGTCGTTTAGTGACAGCCTTACTCTAGAAATGGTTGATTCTATTGGTTACGGTCTCTTGATGAAACCTTGGAAAAGCCAGCTGAAAGTCATCCAACCTACGGATAGTTACTAAGTGCTTTCGACATTATTTAGATACCTTTTTAGAGATAGAAAATATTCTTCACTTAATTTCCCATGAAGTTCTTTCACTCAAAACAAGAATGGATTACTGTCGGTTTCTTTATGAAAACGTAGATTTGGCTCAATATAACAGCGACAGAACAACACTCGATATCCAAACCTTCAATAACAAGACCGAGCAATGTTCACAACATTTTAACAGTCATAACTTTATATTCCTACTTCTTAAATCATCACAATCCAAGTTTTAATTATTTGTTTAAAGAGGATGTGTACACCAAAAAGGTATCACTATACAAAGTTAACAGTATCCATAGTTCACTTTAGCTGAGTTCCACAAATAATTACTATCTGAGAAACAATTACTTTTAAAATAAGAATGTTATGAATTGACAGAATACCCTGTTATGCCTGAAACTAAATCGATTCCGCGGTAACGAACGAAAGCCAATGACACAATGACACGATAAGCTATTCTAATCTGTTGTCCCAGGCCCCGCTAACTAGATGAAGAAGTCCAAGGCAAGTAGGGGAATATATATGTATTCCGTAAGCAGCCGAGTACAAGCAATCGAATAATGGAAAAAGTCAAGCGCATTTATACAACAACAATTTGTCCTTGAGCGTCATTGGTAAATAGCACACACAAAGAAACAAAGGACCAATAGCGGTTAAGATAGTTTACAGGTGGGAAATATGACGTGAAGGTAAAAAGAGCGCTTTTGGCGCGAAAACAGCTAAATTCAAATTTTCAAAATAAAACTACAAGATTAAGCCATTTACCAAGTAAGTTCTGGGGATTTGACATCCCCAACACCTCCCCTTTTTAAGAAATCCGAGCTCCTCCTCCCCCACGAAATAGTGTTGGATCCTCATATACCCAATTTTCTACTAATGCGATTCTATTTATAACATGTTTCTGGCATTCAATAGGGAACCTGCTAAGATTGACTGGATGGTGAGGATCGACACTTGATGTGAGGTCAGAATTTGATTCTGCAGAAATGTAGTCATTAGACTTATTGCAAACATCACTGGCAGGTTGTGGATCACTATGAAAAACAGTGTCCAGCAAAACTGCGCTAGGTTCCGGATTTGATGCATGTAACAAATTTCCTGGACAAGCTTGGGAATCTTTGGCATTAGATTCGGTAAAAATTTCTATTGCAGAATGCGATTCGCTCGGTGTGCTGCTCGATATGATGTCTGGCACTTCGTAGGTGATTGGTGCGACCACTTCATGAGCTTTTAACATAGCATCGTGTTGATGAGAGCTGAAAGCGTCATTGATAGGACCTGCTAATTCCAGGATAGTGGAGTTTGAATCCACTACCGGGCATGTTGCTGAAACGGATAGTGATGGACAACCGGGCATGTCTTGTGATACTGCAGTTTCGTTTAGGTTGCGGCTTGTTGAGGAATCATGGGGGCTGCGATCATTTGCTAGCTCTGTGTGCAATTCAGAGATTAATACATCCACTTCTGACGCATATGTGAAGCATTGATGATCAAGAAACTGTGTACGTAGTTTGACCATGAACTCCAAATGTCGGTCAAAGAGCAACTGTAAGCGGTCAGAAGGGAGCGTCATTTTTCACTTTTGTCCCCGTCGCCAATTGTTATGCCTGAAACTAAATCGATTCCGCGGTAACGAACGAAAGCCAATGACACAATGACACGATAAGCTATTCTAATCTGTTGTCCCAGGCCCCGCTAACTAGATGAAGAAGTCCAAGGCAAGTAGGGGAATATATATGTATTCCGTAAGCAGCCGAGTACAAGCAATCGAATAATGGAAAAAGTCAAGCGCATTTATACAACAACAATTTGTCCTTGAGCGTCATTGGTAAATAGCACACACAAAGAAACAAAGGACCAATAGCGGTTAAGATAGTTTACAGGTGGGAAATATGACGTGAAGGTAAAAAGAGCGCTTTTGGCGCGAAAACAGCTAAATTCAAATTTTCAAAATAAAACTACAAGATTAAGCCATTTACCAAGTAAGTTCTGGGGATTTGACATCCCCAACATACCCATAATACTGTTAGATATCGGCAAAACAAATAAAAATCCGATGGGGAGACCTTAGATTTTATTTCCAAAGAAGTTTTCTGTTATTAAAACACATGAGAGAGGAATTGTACTGGTGTAGAAATGCTTGAAAGATAAATGTATAATTTTATGAACTCAACACAGACCTCTGTGTTGTCATTTTCAGAGGGATTCAGAGCACATATACATTTAAATGTTAACAACAAATGAGTAGGACAATTCTGCATGAATTACCAAGGACCAATGCATAGATATCATTATTTACAAATAAAGCATTTTACACTAGGAATGTGTCAAGATTCATGTGAAATTTGATTATAAGTACGAAATAGAATGGAACAAGGATTAGCATGTAAATAGTGTATAACATAATTTTAATGAATAGTAATTTGCTGGGTTTTAAGACTATATGAAAAAGTAAACAAAAGAGAATGGACTTAGGTTTTTTTATTTCAAAACTATGTTTATTTAACTGAGAAAAAAAGTTTTGGATTTTTTCCTTCTACTTGAGGACATTCGCAATTACAAGGTATAAAAATGATTCACACTCAATAAACCTAATGATACATTTTTATGTAAATGTCTGTTGTGATATATCAAAAATAACCATTTTGTATAAGATACAAAAATCATAGGAATGATAAGTTGTTCTTAGATAAATTAATCCTACACATCTAAGTATTTTGTCATAATTTCTACGGGATCCTACTCAGTCCATTTTAGTTTGGGCAACCGGGTAGTAGTACTAGCCTTTATGCCTAAATTATGGTCGGAAGACAAGTACATTTGTCTGTATTTGTAAATACTTGGCAAATGAGTTACTTCAATATATGAAAATGTAGATAATGGCTGATTTGATAAAACTAAGCAACAGAAACCAACAAATAGATCATTCTGTCATATATGAAGCAAACATCGGGAATTACACGATTATTCAGATAGTTTGAAGTAAGCGTAGGACATAAACTAGCCAAATCACTTCATTGAATCTTATGGATACCAAAAGGAGAAAAGCCAAACATCATCTATAAGATAAACTGCCCCAACTGAGAACACCGTATTGGACAAAGTGGATACCTTTTTTATCGTATGAAAACTAACTACCTATCAAAAATCAAGAGTATTTTTGCTCATATCAATACACAGAAACAATTAAGGACACATGTTTAATCTCGGACAGATAAAATATTAGGAAGATTTGAGGATATTTATGAGCTTTGCACTCAAAGTCACGCAACAATCAATAAACATATTAAAATCAACCCAATTTATCTACCAATTAGGAAACTCATGGAAAAAATTTAAGGTCAGAAATCAGGTCAAAGAGTGACAATCAAAACTAATGTGCAAAAAATGACAGGACAAGTGTCAACAACAACCAACCAAAATGAAGACTGAGAGAAACTCGAATACCTAACTTTTACTTTATATTTTGCCGATAGTGTCGTCCACAAGGGCAATGAAAGAGGCGGAAGTAAACTACCCAGGTCAGAGAACGAAACACCTCTCAATTCATTTACCTCAGTTACAAATCTTTTCTAACATTTCAAAGTGATCACATTCATATAAATCGTGTTCATCTAGAACATATCTACAAATTGTAAATGTCAATGATTGTCTTATTTGATGTGAAGAGGAGAATGGAGAAAATGACAAACCACGAAGGCTATTCATTGAGATATTATCTTGCCGGACTGTTAATCTGTAAATTACTACGATTTCATTATGTGCCTGCTTTCTTTTTGAGCATTTTTCCGCTCGTTTAGTGGATGAGTGTTGCATATAAGAGCGTGATTTTTACTGGACATTTAACTTCAGTCATCTATATCTTCTATGAATACAACACAGTGGCGCATTCCAACTTCTTGGATGAAGAAAGTTAACAGGATGAAATTTAGAGTTTGAAATGTAATCATCAGTGAAAACTGTGGTCTTATATGCAGCATTCAATAACTGAATTAATGGAAAAGTAGACCAACTGGTTCTGTTATTCCATAATTATATGACCTCCCTAAATTGAAGACGACTGATATTCCTTTTTGTTCTATATTAGATATGAATAACTTGTGTTATCACTAAATGGCTAACTGAAATTCTACGTTCAGTTAGAAGTCAACTCAATAGATACACCGCGGCTGAGTCGTTTGATTTTGTTGATTCAGTGGTATATATTAGTGTAACAGGGAACAAGATGACTTCAATAGGTAATATATTTCTTTGATAAATTTAGTTATTGATGTAACACCACTAATTAGTATACAATTTTTCCCAAAGAATTTTAACAGATATAATGAGAATAAACATCAGGAAAAGTTTAACATATTACATAAACACTTCATTTTACTGGGGAAATGAAATAACATCTTTAAAATGGGAACTGCTATAATGAACATTAGAAACACAATGAAATATAGAATGAATGAACTTACTTTCATATAACTAATGTTTAAATCTTTTCTGGATAAACCACGTCGTATATTTCTTCTTAAATAAACATCATAATCACGTACAATACGTCCGATTACATCAGTAGTAGAAATTCCTTCTGTACGTTGAGTTACAAGAAACCTTAATGAAATAATATAAATATGAATTTCCTTAGAAAGACTTTCAAAATGAATTCATTACACTATAACACGTAAGTGCTATGTAAATGAAATAACAATAGGAAAAATTGAATGAACTGGTAACATTTAAGTGATAGAGGATTAAACTGAACAAAAAATCTTTATAGGCAATAAAAAGATTTTATATAGTTGAGATCATGAGTCAATTGAAGCTAGACCATCATTGAAAACCTGGAAGCACTGGACGGACATTTCGTCCTATTGTGGGACTAAATCAGCAGTGCGCATCCACGATCCCACCTTGCGAGATTCGAATGCAGGACTCATGATCTCAACTATATAAAATTACTAAAATCTCTACAAAACCCCCTTCTGATAATAAAAAGATTTAATATTTGAGTGTTCTTTAGTAAATTCTTAATTAGTGAATTAAATTAACGTCAGTGATCAGAAGACTTGTAAATACTGTTGGAATGAGATACAACAGTCGTTATAAGGTTATTTATTTATTTTATTGCCCCCAAATGCCCTGGTACGGCCGAGAGTGGGGAGAGTCTACTCTCCCTCGAAATGCTCTCATATGGCCACGCGAATATATAACCTCTGCCAGGGAAGTCCTACTCACTGCCTTCTCGTGGCGGAGGTGTTGTTCACAAAAGTGAGAGGACGAAAAGCGAATGTTCGGCGCTTAAACCGGGTTGGTGGATGTGGAGGATCCACCTAGGGGAGTTGGAAAACCTTGATTCCAAACCAATGGTGCACATGGACTCCAGGATCCTGATGGAACAAATGGCGTATGAACCTATTGGTCACCGGGTACCATGGGACTGCATCTCCTTACGATGCTCCACTGCCTTGTGGATCAGACCTTTAGGTCAAAGGCTCGGGGTGTGGCCCCTAAGAAAATCAGCTGCTTCAGTCTGGGCATCTGAGCAGTATCACAGCCCTCACACAAATCGAATGAGATTTGTGAGGCGCATATTTATCTGGTGCTTCCTTGTACCAATATTTACGTTTAAATAAATAATTTATTTTATTTAAACACATTTGTGTGAGGGCTGTGATACTGCCCAGGTGCCCAAACTGTAAAAATAAAGGCAGTGATTAGATCATTGATTAATTTCATATGACACGGAGAGTCTGAAGAATGTAAAAAAACGAGATTTTATAAGCATGGCAGTAAATGAACGACATTGTTTGAGTATTTTAAAGACTGATAATCAGGTGAAAAGTTAATCGTTACACAAATGCATTAAATATTTTCAAAAGACCCTAAGAATAGTAAATTATAAAAAAATGTTTGAATATGAATGTCTGGTAAGCACACAACAAAGAATATTTACATAACAATATAACTACTAGCGTGGCTGAATAATTTGATAGGTTAATTAACTTGGTTTTAATCATTAAATCAGAGGTTCAAATTTAGTTACGGTTAATTCAATTTAAGCAATCTGATACGATTGTTGGTCATGGTATTAAGTTCACTAAGGTAAATCAGTTTTGTTGGTAAGTGAAGAATACGTACTTGGGATCTGGGGGAATATTGTAATCAATGGTTAAACATGTTGGTAGACGTAAGCTTTGAATTGGTGGCAACGGTGCCAGCATATACATTACTTGTCTTCTTTCAGATCCTAGATTTCAAAAGATTTATTGGTTATTTAGTCTTTCTTCTTGAAGTATGCAGACAACGCTTAACATTTTATACTACTGCTGGTTTAACTCATGAACTGATCTTAGCAAAACCACCACTGAAAACCTGGCAGCATTGGATGACCGCTTCGTTTTAGCACGGGACTCCTCAGCAGTGTGCACCAACGAACCCACATCCGGAAACCAAACACAGAAACTACGGTCTCGAGCGCGAATGCTTGACGTCTAGGCTACTAAGCCGGTATCCAAAGATTTCAGTGTCTGACACATTAAAATTTGAACTTCTCAAAAGTAATATTTATTTGATTTAATTTTATTTGATACGGTAGTTTTTCAACTGACTAAAAAAAGTAGAAGGAAAACGAAGAACCTGAAAAGATGCAGTCTAACTGCTAATGTTTGAAACCATGAGCCACTACACTCTACATGAAGTAAACTAAGAATACGAAGACAGGTGTAAATGGAGATTTTAAAGGTTTTCAAAACACGTCATCTTGACCAAATAAAACAATCATTTATATATGTTGAAAGCGTGAGTCAATTGAAGCTAGACCACCATGGAAAACCTGGAAACACTGGACGGCCCATAATAGGACGAAACGGCCGTCCAGTGTTTCCAGGTTTTTCATGGTGGTCTAGCTTCAATTGACTCACGCTTTCAACAACGATAAATACTAAATCTCCACAAAACCCCTTCTATAATTTATATATGTGACCATTACACAATATAGATGATTAGATAACAATATTACATATAGGAAAAATGCATAGTTAATTCAGAAACACATAATGTGGTTCACTGAACTGGTAGAAAGTATAAATATCACATTGAATTGATATAAAAAGTACTGATTTTTTTATCCCATCTTATAAATGATAAATGTACTTCATTCATCAAATTAACGTAAAATCACTCATTTCTACATACTAAGGGGTTACTAATGCAAAAAACTGAATCATTGAACAATACAGTCGACGTAGAAACATATTATCTTATGATATATTTTATTGTTTTAAGATTGGTAAACTTTAGTTAGACTCTTTACACTCAAGTGAGTGAAACAAGTATTGAACTTAAGACTAGCCTGACTACACTACAATCCTAAGATTTATTTGCTACCAAAGATAATTAATCAATTTGAGAATTATGAAAGCAAATTTAACACTTGGAACAGTGATCGAACAATGTTTAGTAATAATAGAGAGCACTGTTAGATTAGGAAAAGTATTGTAACTTAATGATATCATTGACTGAGTGATATTGAAGTTATGAGAAAATTACGAAGTCGTACAAAAAATTACAACATATGGGGATATCAAAACAAACTATCAATTTATAAGATTACTGACTCTAAGGAAGTGGAAACTCCATAACCGGTGTGAATTACTTTAGTACATTTTGTACTAAATTTTAAAATTGACACTATTATGAACACTTTACATTCCTTGATCTCTTCAGCCTCTTTGAATTCTGAATTAACATTTACTCATTAGTTTTCTTTTAGTTACTCGTTTTTATCGGTAAAATGCATGAAAACTCTCAGAGTAGTACATATATATATATATATATTACAGCTTAAAACCTATTGAAACGAATATAATAGGATTTGGGAAGAAAACATTTCTACAAAAAACTCATCTTTGTACTTTTTCAAGTTCTTGAATAGTTAGAAGTTTTTTATAAGTACACAGAAGGAAACAGAAAACAAAAGAAATAAAAAAAACAAGGTCAATTTTAGGGAAAGACTCTAAAGATTAACTTGATTAATGTAACACCAGCTTTGGCCAATCATCAATGCTATTTAAAATATAGCCTGGTATAAATGTGAGTTAGACCTAATCACCATGCCAAATCAGAACAGATAGATAAAATTAACAAAATACATACTAAAAGGGTCAGAATAATTGTAGTAGCAGTGATATTGAGAAAGACTAAAAATTTAAAATATGCTTCGAGAAGGTAGCATGCGCCTCAATGAGTTGCCCACCTATTATACGGTCAAGCTCCCAAGTAGTCAAGTCCACTTCCAATCCAGTTCCCTTTTTTCGTGCGCCTACCAACAAGGCTCAACTCAACAGTCAATAATTCCACAGACTGAGCTCATATTTTGTTTTAGTAAACACTAATTTCTTTCAACCTTTTCTTATTTTAGGAAACATAGTGAGTCATTGTGGACATGCCTCACATACGTCTCAGACATCTCAGTCACCGAAGATACACAGCTTCATCAGTCGACTATTTTTAAAGTGAAACAAACAATATGTGTGAATGTAAATCAGGAAATCTGAGTAGAAACAACTTAATAAATAATAAAACAGAAGGACATTGGAGAGGTAGGAGTAAATATAAATAGAACAATTGAGCTAATAAAACAAAACTCTAAACCAAGGAAATGATTAAGACACGGACAGTTTTAAAATGTAGATTTAAAACAGAATAAAGGTTTAAATAGGGTGATAGCTGACGGTGGAATTCAGAGCGCGAATTTTGTCCTATTTGCGACTCGTTAGTTGGATGTACCTGCTTCCCATAGTCGATGTTAAGTCCAGGACATGAACCCAATCCCTGTCGCTTCAAACGCCATCACGTTATTCACTTAGGTACTGAGTCAAGATAACAATGAAAGCTCCACGACTAAACCATCCAGCTCAGAGAACGAAACTCCACCTGAAAAGGGTACATCAAGATCACTGAATCGGGGTGTGTCCCATACTTTAAACTCTAATTAACCCTATTCAGGTCAAAATTAATGGAGATATATTTAAGATATCTGATAGATTCATATTTGACAAGACGTACCCTGAGAGTATGGATTCCACCTGTATTATATGATTTCACGTCATCCAATTACGCAGCGTGAGGCGTCATTATTGAACTGTTCGGGTTGCGGCTACATTATAGATACACCTTCCCGAAGAGTGCTAAACAACAGGAAAACTAGGTCTAGGGTTTACAATCGACTATTTTAATCACCTAACATTAGTTTGTTTTAAATACTATTCGTATTCTATCTCAATTTATAAAGGGAAAACTTTGTACAAACCTATTGATAAATGAAGTAACTATGCTTACAACAATTACATATATTCATTGTTAATGTAGTGACACTGAAAAATCAATATTAAGTAAGATGATAAGTAACTTTTATCAAAAAAAATCATGATTGAATTAAGATCTTTTTATTCTTGTTTAGAAGTGAATAATTGATTTGTACATCAATAAAGGCATTACTTTCACTGAAACTTTCATCAAACGCTAAACTTTTAAATAACAATTACATTAATAGTAGGTTTCTTAATTTAAGAATTATTTAACTGATACTATACTTATCGCAAAATATAAATCACTTTAATGTTTTCATTTTTTATTCTAGTAATAATCAGTACTTATGTAGTCTTACATTTAACTAGATAACACAATGGAATACTTTTCTATGCAAGATAAAATGATTCGAAGAACTAAACTAACTTTATTCAAGAGTTACAAACTTACATGCCAGCATCCTTTAGTGGTTTGTACACATCTTCACTATCAGGTGATGCATATGGAATGTCATCATGTGCAACAAAATCAATCTGTGAGAAATGTAAATCAAATTAACAATGAAAATATTTCTTTTAGAAATTGTGTATGACAAATTAATAAGACTGATGAGCTTACGCATGAAGATGTCAACCACATAAAAAGAAATGACAATGATAACACGAACAGTGACCAAATGTGATCAATGCATCCTCGACCAGAACGAAAACCAGCCTACTCCTCGCGAGTCAATCGTTCTCGGGTTTTAAACAACCTACGAAGAATGACAAAAGCCAATAGTTTGGACGCAATCGGAAGTAGACTTATCCCCCGATAGTTGTTACAGGAACAACGTGAACCCTTTTTAAAGATAGGGACGACTATTGACTCATTCCATGATGTTGGAACACTTTCTTCCTCCCAAACCTTTGCAAACAACACCGTCAGTTCCTTAGCCAGAAAGTCACCACCATCTTTAAAAAGAGCCGGAGGTAAGTCATCTGGGCACGGTGATTTATAACGTTTCAAGAGTTGAAGTTCCTTGAGGACTTCCGCCTCGTTTGGTGGATCAGTCGTCACCGGCCATGGGGGGCAGGAAAAGCTGGTTGATGTTGTCGGAGCAGCAGGCCAGTTGAACTGCCCTTCGAAAAATTCCGCCCATCGTCGAAGACGTTGAGAGATGTTAGTGATTGGCATCCCGTCATCCTCGTAGATTGTTTCACTCACACCAGACTTCTTGCTGCCAGTGGCTCGGATGAGTTGGAAGAGCTTCCGGCAGTTACCAGATGCAGCTGCTGCTTCCATCTCATTAGCACGCTCCGACCACCAGGCTTCCCGGTCCTTACGCAAGCTTTGCCCGATTTCATTACGTAACAGCCTTCGTTTGTGGTCAAACTCACGGTCACCCGGAGTAGACCGACGGGCTTCCATCAGTTGTAAGGAGCCAGAAGAAACCCAGTGCTTGTAAGCGGGACGTTTCGCGAAGCCGCAAGCGGCTTTACTCGCCATTTTCATGGCGTCGTGAAAATGCAACCAATGCTCATCTATACTTTCGGTGGGATGGTAGCTAGCCTAGAAGCTAGCTCCACTCGATACTTACTTGCAACAGAAGTTGCAGCCAGTTTACTAACATCAACCTGTTGGTGGTGGTCAATCCTTCGGTCACTGAAAAGTGAGGTGAGATTGGCGCAGACCAGGGCATGATCAGACTCCAGATAGGTACTACAAAAGGAGCGGCAGTCTTGTACACAACCACGCCAGCGGTAGCTGATCGCGATGTGATCAATCTGAGTCCAGGCTTGAGATGCAGAGTGAGGACGCCAGGTGGCACACCGGCGATGACTGTGCCGGAAGTTAGTGCTAGTCAGAAACAGGTTGTGGTCTGTGCACAGTTGCAGCAAACGGTCCCCGTTATCTGTCCTGCGACCAACAAGTCCCCATCGGCCACCTAAACGACTCTCTTCTGTGCCTAGACGCCCGACCTGTGCATTCAAGTCTCCGGCTAGTACTACAATATCTGTCGAACGCGCTTTCTGGAGAAGAACTGTTAACTGGTGGAAAAACTCATCCTTGATTGCATCCGGGCTGCAATCTGTCGGGGCATAGGCGGAGCTGACGAAAAGACACCGTTTCTCACGCCGGTTTCTTCTCACTTTGATGGAACTTTCTAATCTAACAGCACATAACCGACTGGCAATGGGGATCCAAACGATTAGTGCTGCCTCAGCCCTAGTGCTTAGTGCAACACCAACACCAGCAAGAAAGGACGAAGCTGCCACAGGGTCCCCAGATAAGCTCACGTGAAACAAGCTTTTCGAGGCGACAGATGGAGAGTGAAATTGTAGTACTTCACTAGAGTCTTGAATACGGGTCTCGGATAGACAACAAACATCAACATTAAGACCTTCCAAAGACATAGCCAGCCCTATCTGTTGTCTGATATGCATTAGTGTGCGAACGTTGAAGGAAGCCAGCTTGAACGGCGTACGTGGTTTCAGAATTACTGCTTCAGTATTCATTATCGGTGGAAGCATTTACTTTCAACCAGACAGTGACTGGAGATCGTTTAGATAGGACAGATTTTCCACCATGGGCGAGCTGCTGCATAAGTTGAAAAGTAAGGTTACACAAATTGGGGATAAAAGGGTGTGAGTTAGCGATATGGTAAATAATAATAATAATAATAATAATAATAAAGGTAATAATAATAATAATGTTAATTGTCTTGCTTTTAGTATGAGCAGGGATATTATCGTCAATAGAGTTCATCATTTCATTCATTTGTGTGTGGGCTGTGATACTGCCCGGGTGCCCAAACCGAAGCAGGTGGTTTTCTTAGGGGACCACACCCCGAGCCTTTGACCTAAAGGTCTGATCCACAAGGCAGTGGAGCATCGTGAGGAGATGCAATCCCATGGTTGCCGTTGACCAATGACAGGTTCTTCCGCCATTCGTTCCATCAGGATCCTGGAGTCCATGTGCACCATTGGTTTGGAATCAAGGTTTTCCAACTCCCCTAGGTGGACCCTCCGTGTCCACCAATCCGGTTATAGCGCCGGACATTCGCTTTTCGTCCTCTCACTTTCGTAAACAACACCCCCGCCACGAGAAGGCAGTGAGTAGGACTTCCCTGGCAGAGGCTATATATTCGCTGGCCATGTGAGAGCATTTCGAGAGGGAGAGTAGACTCTCCCCACTTTCGGCCGTACCAGGGCATTTGGGGGCTACAGATCAAAAAAATATAACAAACTATGCTGATGATTTCAGTTTTTGATTTAATCTGATGCTTCATGCTTTGGAGTTGCATAATCTCATAGAATTTATTCATATATCAACGAATGGTGATCCACCTTGTTCTAATACATGGCCGTGAAATATATATATATATATATATATATAAAGTAGAAAACATTTGCAGGTTATTAGTATTTACTGGCATATGATGAAACTATTGAGTAATGATGATGTTAGATGTTGAGTATTAGGTAAAGAGAATATGAAAATAATAATGGAAAAAATACTTGACAAGTTAAATCGACGAAAATACAAAAAACTATACTTGTGATTGCATAACTCCTTTATTAACTACAGATTTATGTGCTCGGCTATGAGTCACATTATTTATGAGGTCCAGTAATACTATGCAGCTCCCCAAATGGAAGTAGATGAAGTGAATTACGAATATGTGACGTACTGGTTTTAAGTTAAGTGCTGTTAATCATAAATCCACAGAAGTAGCAGAACGATTAAATATTAAAATTCATTGAGTTAATCATAAACAACGTAGAGCCTGGACATGAATGTCTTATTTCAAGTTGTCACACCAAATCAGCACAAAATGAGATTAATGAAATATGTAGTAAAATAATTCCAAAAAACAATAACAAAGATATCACAATATCACTGGATTAATTACCTTGTGTTTCTGCAAAAATTCATTAGTGATAGACCAAGGAGCATCATTTATAACTTCATCTACATAACGACAATGTCTTATAGCTTCATAACGTTCTTTCTCATTCATGACTGTACGACCCTTATAATGGTGAACATCTGCGTCATTAGAGACTGAGATAAAATTGAAGCACGTGAATCAAAGTAAAGATTAATCAGTACAAAGATATTTACTGAAAAAAATGAAACGGTGTCATTTGTTTACTAGAAATAAACAAAATAAGTTACAAAACGTAACATGGTAGTCTTACATGTCACTTTATTCCTAAACTTTAAGCCATACCTAACACGTAGATTGAAAAGAACAGCTTACTATCGAAATTAAACTTGATTTTATTGATATGACTAAGTGAAATTATGATTAAATGCTAACAAAGTTTATAAAGAATTATGATTGTCATTTTAAAATTATTTCTCAAGATGTTTTATTAGCAATAATCAAATCAAACTTACCACCAACAATAAGGTATGTATCAGGGAAAGCGCATTTCGCTTGCATTAACTGACGAGCATGGCCAGAATGAAACATATCATATGCTCCATCAGCATACACACGGACTTGTCTAGGAGCTAAAATAATAAGACAGTAAAAAATGTATGAGTTCTAGTTGAGATTTTTAGGAGGAGTATCGAGGTTTGTGCATATATGCGTATAGTTGACTGCAAAATATAAAAACTTTACCATTAATTTTAACGAAGTGGTGGTTCTTTATCTTCGCTTTGATCCTACGGTTTTGACTTATTTTATAAATTTTCTCCATGGACCTGCATTTTCTGTTCGAATTATATTGTCCATATCCAATCTTCTCTACTACCAATAATACTGTTGCGACCTCTACTACTCCAATATCGTATCTTGTACTGATATGGTGTGGCAATTTGAAATAATGTATATATATCAGGCTCTATGTTGCGTATGGCTGACTGACTCAGTAGTTAAGGCATTCAACGTTAAGTCATTGATTTTCAGGCTCGAAGCCTGCTTCATCTACTTTGGCTTTCAGCATTAATGTGGTATTACTAGGTTTTACAATATGGTTTGAAGCCAAGTACACTTATCTGCACTTCGTAAATGAGTTAAAATGAATACTGTTAATTTAATTCATGAAATACTACCAAATACTTGCTAGAGATACTATAACTAGTAGGCATACATGTAAATAAAAGCAATAACAAATCCGTGAGCTGAAGCGTAAATCGCATCGTAAGTCATAACGAATTGATGGTAATTAGTCATCTAGTTTAACATGTTTCTAAGCACGATTTGCCAACGTAGGTTTACTACAAAGATGTTAACTAAAACTGGATTACATACATAAAGGCTTTGTCAAAATTTATGCACTGCACTGATTAATCATCACAGAGTAAAAACCCAACAAAAGAACGAAGGTATATGAAAACAAATAATATTTTAGTAAAAAGAGATAAACATACATAAACCGTAAGTATGTTTAAGTTTAGGAAAAGATAAAGAACGACAGGGCATGTGTTAATATATATTGGAGCTAGTAGTTGCGAATATGTAGAAATGAGTATAAGAATTAATCAGTTCTTAACATTTCGAGGACTGTGGCAAGAAAATTTACATTTAGAAACAATCAACCGGTTGCTTTGTACTCTAATGACACTTTTAGGGGGCGATCTTCTTTCTCTCTTCCAACCTAGTTTCACCTACGTCAATACTACATACCGATGCGATGAAACTTGAAAAGAGTTGCAAATCTAACATAAAATGTAAGACAGTTCGAAAATTTCAAAAATCTTTGAAAGCATTAGTTAAGGAACAGATTCTGTTTAGCTCCTTATTTATTTTGCTTCTGTATCTCAGGTTATTCGTTTAGATTAATATATTTGAGATATCAGAGAAGTGTTTTATTTGAAGTTTATATTATTATTATAATAAAAATAATCTAAAAGCATTTTGGATGCCAAAGAAAGGAGATCTGAGAAAATGTGAGAATTAAAGAGGCATCACACTACTGTCATGACCAGGAAACGTTTTCCACAGTGTTGCCGAACCGGATGAAAGTCGCAGTAGACGCCCAACTTCGAGATCAACAGACTGGATTCTGTAAGGATAGGTCGTGCATAAACCAAATCGGATCATCGTCGAACAACCGGTTAAGTGGAACTCGTCACTTTACATCAACTTCATTGAATATGAGAAGGCGTTCGACAGTATGGATAGGGAAACGTTACGGAAATTTCTCGGACACTATGGAGTTCGTGAGAGGATTATCAACATTATCCAGAACTCATACGACGGACTACAGTGCAAAGTCGTGAATGGAGGGCAGCTGATAGACGCATTGCAAGTGAGGACCGCAATCAGACAACGCTGCTTACTTTCATCACTCCCTTTTCTTCTGATGATTGACTGGATTATGAAGACCTCGACGTCTGACGGAATGCTCAGAATAAGATGGACAGGTTGGATGCAACTAGATGATTTAAACTTCGGAAATGACCTGACCCTTCTATCCCATACGCATCTACAGATGCGGATGAAAACAACTAGTGTAGCAACAACCTTTGCACCAATAGGCCTCGACATACACAAGGGTAGAGAATCCTCAAATACAACACGGAGAACACCAACAAAACCAATCACACTTGAAGGAGAAACTCTGGAAGTTGTGGAAAGTTTCACGTATCTTGATAGCATCATTGATGAAAGTGGATGGTCCGATACAGAGTTTAAGGAGAGGATTGGCAAAGCAAGAGCTGCATTCATACAGTTGAAGAACATGTCGAACTCAAAACAACTGTCTGTTAACCAACATCAAAGTCAGGGTCATAAATATGAACGGTCAAGACAGTTCTGCTGTACAGAGCTGAAACTTGGAGAATTACTACAACCATCATCAAGAATGCACAAGTATTTCTAAACAGTTTTCTACGTAAGACACTGAATGTCCGTTGGTTGGATACCATCAGCAACAACATTCTGTGGGAGAGAACAAACCAGCTTCCAGATGAAGAGGAAATCAGGAAAAGACGTTGGAAGTGAATAGGACATACATTGAGAGAATTACCAAACTGTATCGCGGGGCAAGCGCTAACTTCAAATGCAGAATGGAAGCGGAAAAGAGGAAGGTCAAAGAACACATTGCGTTAGGAAATAGGAGCAGATATGAAAAGAATGAATGTTAACTGAAAAGAACCGGAAAGGATTGTCTAGGACAGTGTTAGATGGAGAATGCTGGTGTGCGGCCTATGCTCCCCCACGAGGGGTAAGAGGCGTAAGTAAGTAAGCTCAGAAGTGACTGGCTTCGAAACGGATTTACCGGAGTTCTTATGAGAAGTCGTGACCAGTGGAGTACATTCCGTGTCGGGTAGAGACAGGCGTATACCTCAAACAATAGATAAATGATTGTACAAGATCATGGATTGACTGAAGTAAGATATTAACATTGTTGTATCCCGGTTCAGCGGTTTAGAGGTTGAGCGTTTGCTTGCGAGACTGAACGTCTTGGATTCGAGTCCTGCGTACGGAATCGTGGATGTGCACTGTTGAAGAGTCCCATACTAGGTCGGAACGGCGGTTTAGTGCTTTCAGGTTTTCAATGGTAGTCTAGCTTACATTGACTCATGGATTTAATCATTAAAACTTTCAGATAAATGTGCAAAATAATTAAAATTGAACAGATGCAATATTTATTAGCAGTGTATACAAAGGCGAATGTATTTGTATGAATTTAAACATAAAAGTTATATATATTCAGATAACGAAAATTAATGAAAATGTAACTCTACCTTGACCAGATTTAGCCATTTCTAAAGTAATTTTAATTGTATAATCGCAAGCCTGGTTTGTGGCCATAGCTAATGGTTCATACCAAAACGGAGCAGGGGAACGATATGCCAAAGTTGACTGAGGTAGTAAATTATTATCAGTTATTAATGAACGATTTTCAACCTTAGTTTCATTGGTAGTAACATTATCCAAATTTGATGATGTAGTAGCACAAGATACTTCAGATGTATGTATGTTATTTTCATTATTCTGAAATGAATTAGATTGTGTTTGTTCTGTGATTTCTAGTACTTCAGAAATTGTCAAGTTATCTTTTGAGTCTTGAACGGATAATTCTTCACTAAGGTATGTCCCGTTGTAATTATATTTCCTACCATTTGTAGCTTCAACAGATAATTCGTGATCAGTTGATATGATAGGGATCATTTTATGATAATAAAAGCCAAGTATTTAAACGGTGTCTAAATTATGAAGGAAATAACTGAGTATGAATAGTCTTCTTAACTTGGTTGGATTGAAAAGGTCTATATAATTAAAAATAATAATTTATATTAGTGTTGTACTCAAATTATATTACACTCAAACTACATACAATCAACAAATCCATAGAATGAATCAAAAAATACCAATTGGTACTCTACACTAATACGATACTACAGAGGTGAGATTATCTGAGTTGTTAATCATTGGAGGAGGAGGAGAAGGAGCAATAACCAAAAGAATGCTATTTCAAGGTTAAATGTCTAAAGAAATAAGTCTTACATCATTTAATATTGATTGAAGATTTCTTTTATCTTAATTACGTTATTAACACACATATATGTATTACAGATTGATGTGGAAGATAATATGATGTTGGTTTTTTGCTTTATCAGTTGCATAAATTTGATCTGATTAGTTAAAAATAACTTGTTTAAATTATTACAATTCAATTAGTGTTTAAATAAATGTTGATTTACTGAATTTTTTGAGTAAATATAAACATTGATATCGATTAAGATACGATGAACTTAGTGAGATTAAATCCAGTAAGAATATACAACTTATGTATTAGTAAACAATTGAACTCAAGTGCATTGCAATTGTAAGAAATATGTACAAAATCATTATCACTGATAGACATGTTTTGAACAGTGAGAAATGCACTATTCAATACAAATGACATTTATAAAAAAAATGTGTAAACTTCTTACTCAATAGTGTGTAAAATTAAGATTATGGCTATCCAGTTACAGATATGAATTTTGTATCTGAGATATTGGACGGTTAGTTAGAATATATGTTTACAATTGCGATCGCTTTTTTAAGAACGAGAACTAAACGACAAACTAGATAACAGTCAAGTATGGGTCAAGTATTATTGATAACCTTAGGTCAACCTTAAATATTGTAGAAGGATTTTGGAAATGAACATTGTTAAATAATTAGTTAAGGAATGACCGGTATTTACAAAATAACACTACGAAAATATAATATGTATGCAGAATAGATGGAAAATGGTTAGCGGTGGAATCCAGAGCACGCGTTTCGTCCTACATGGGACTCGTCAAGATGCACATATACCAACAACAACAACTGATCAGACTTTAGTTTAAATATCAACAATGGGGCAATTCAAACAATTAAAAGATAAAATGCAATACGCCCCTTTTATCAATCGACTCGGGTTTCTGAGAATCTACTAAGTCACATTTGGAACTGCAGTTCATTGGTTTTTGTGTTTAAATTACAATTACTGAGTTAGAAAAATGTACCCAGGGCTCTAATTACTAAATTTTAAGGAGGAAGTTAATATAACTAAACTCAAAAGCAGGTTTCTTATATAGGTTATCACATAAATATATAGGTAGTCGGTTGCACGTTTTTATGTGGTATATTAATTCAACCTTATAACATATCTAATTAAAAGGTAAACTATCAACAAAGGAATCTAGGATGAACAAATAAGTATAAAAAACAGCATCACAAAAGTAAACCACAAGACAGAAAAAATCACAAAGAAAAACATTAACATCTAGTGAAAATAAATGTATATTTACAAAAGTATGAAAAGAACATAATAATGTGTAAACTAATTGAATGACTTCAGGAAGCTGCAATAACACTTAATGGCTCTTGTAAATTTTGTACTAGAGCATTCATCTTAGCTCGTAACATTCCCAAACCCACATCTTTGGAGGCATGGAGGCAAAGAAGAACTGACGCTACACGTGTAATTATTAGTTTGCCTTCAGACAATTTCAGGATTATTTCCTGGACAGTATCCTAAAAGTAAATAAGACAGATATTGTGTTTTAAATAATTTCATAACATGAAAAATTCATGATATAATTAGCGTCAAGTTTCTAAAAAAATATGTTTCACTTACTTATGAGTAGTAGAGTTATGAGAACTAACTTTTGAAGCACTGATAGCTTCAATTCACGGCACAGCATGTCTAGAAATATCTGGTACGGCAAAATTCACAAACACATCAACCGACTATTAGACAATCCACGAATAAGCTACTCAAATGGCGAATAGTAGAAGACTAATACTTTACGCCAATCACAACGTAGAATCCAGTACGCATGTACATTGGTTCAAGTTGATATATCCCAATTAGCATTGAGATTTTTCAGAATTTTCAGACCAAATCCCGGAATAATAGAGGTAGTAACAGTATCAGTGGTAATAGGGAAGATTAAACATAGAAGATATAATCCGAGAAAACAAAAATTAGTTTAATAAAACTTGTGGAATTCAGAAGCTTAGAACCTGGAGGAAGAAAGAAAATGGATGCACTTGTGCAATTACAAACGATTTTGAGCCATACCATTCGAAGTCTTTAAACACTGATTATGATAATCACGCGGACCCCAACCAGGTAGTCCATACCTAATAAGATGGCTCAGTCCGGTTGTCAGCGACTTCAGGGACTGGTGCCATGTTTTGGTTTGACCGCCCTTAACTTTCTTTCAACCTACTCCTACAAAAGACAATATCGACCGTCGAGGTAGGCGATGGTTGGATATATGTAACACACGTCCCAACTACTTCAGTTGATGACGATTTATTACATAATCAATCGATTGGCCTTCCTCACCTAGAATCCAATTCTCAACCAGGAGATTGGTTATTCGGTGGTCCCAAAATACACGAGTAGTGATTCAAAGACACCTACAGTATAATGCCAGTAGCCTGAAAATGTCATATCCTTAATGGCCATGTTTCTCGCCCATAAAATGAAACACAGCTAACTACTGAGCAGTAAACCCATCCTTTGGTTGAAAGACGGATATCTCTCTTACGCCACAATTGATGGGATTCGGCAAAAGCCAATCAGGTCTTTTGAATACGTGGCAAGGTTTTGTCAGACACCAGACCATCAGGACTAATCAGACTCCGAAGATAAAAGAAGCGGTTGATGCATCCAACTACTTCACTCCCTATCAGCTAGGATGGCCGAGCGCATAAGGCGGTGGACTTAAGATCCCCTGAAGTGTATCCCTGTGTGGGTTCGAACCCACTCACAGCAGGCGGATTTGGCTCCCAAATGCCCTGGTACGGCCGAGAGTGGTAGGAGTCCACTCTCCCTCTCGAAATCCTCTCACATGGCCACGCGAATATATAGCCTCTGCCAGGGAAGTCCTACTCACTGCCTTTGTAGAGGATTAATTGCATTAAGATGTTAATGAACTTCTCAGACACACCCTTCTTCAATAGACAATCCCAGAGAACAGTCCTGTCCAACGAATCGAAGGCCGCCCTGATATCAAGAAACACCACGATTGTTGGCCTGCGATAAGTATGACGGTGTTCTAACATTTGGCGGAGGGTGAAGGTGTGATCAATGCATCCTCGACCAGAATGAAAACCGGCCTGCTCCTCGCGAGTCAATCGTTCTCGGGTTTTAAACAACCTACAAAGAATGACAAAAGCCAATAGTTTGGACGCAATCGGAAGTAGACTTATCCCCCGATAGTTGTTACAGGAACAACGTGAACCCCTTTTAAAGATAGGGACGACTATTGACTCATTCCATGATGTTGGAACACTTTCTTCCTCCCAAACCTTTGCAAACAACACCGTCAGTTCCTTAGCCAGAAAGTCACCACCATCTTTAAAAAGAGCCGGAGGTAAGTCATCTGGGCACGGTGATTTATAACGTTTCAAGAGTTGGAGTTCCTTGAGGACTTCCGCCTCGTTTGGTGGATCAGTCGTCACCGGCCATGGGGGGCAGGAAAAGCTGGTTGATGTTGTCGGAGCAGCAGGCCAGTTGAACTGCCCTTCGAAAAATTCCGCCCATCGTCGAAGACGTTGAGAGATGTTAGTGATTGGCATCCCGTCATCCTCGTAGATTGTTTCACTCACACCAGACTTCTTGCTGCCAGTGGCTCGGATGAGTTGGAAGAGCTTCCGGCAGTTACCAGATGCAGCTGCTGCTTCCATCTCATTAGCACGCTCCGACCACCAGGCTTCCCGGTCCTTACGCAAGCTTTGCCCGATTTCATTACGTAACAGCCTTCGTTTGTGGTCAAACTCACGGTCACCCGGAGTAGACCGACGGGCTTCCATCAGTTGTAAGGAGCCAGAAGAAACCCAGTGCTTGTAAGCGGGACGTTTCGCGAAGCCGCAAGCGGCTTTACTCGCCATTTTCATGGCGTCGTGAAAATGCAACCAATGCTCATCTATACTTTCGGTGGGATGGTAGCTAGCCTAGAAGCTAGCTCCACTCGATACTTACTTGCAACAGAAGTTGCAGCCAGTTTACTAACATCAACCTGTTGGTGGTGGTCAATCCTTCGGTCACTGAAAAGTGAGGTGAGATTGGCGCAGACCAGGGCATGATCAGACTCCAGATAGGTACTACAAAAGGAGCGGCAGTCTTGTACACAACCACGCCAGCGGTAGCTGATCGCGATGTGATCAATCTGAGTCCAGGCTTGAGATGCAGAGTGAGGACGCCAGGTGGCACACCGGCGATGACTGTGCCGGAAGTTAGTGCTAGTCAGAAACAGGTTGTGGTCTGTGCACAGTTGCAGCAAACGGTCCCCGTTATCTGTCCTGCGACCAACAAGTCCCCATCGGCCACCTAAACGACTCTCTTCTGTGCCTAGACGCCCGACCTGTGCATTCAAGTCTCCGGCTAATACTACAATATCTGTCGAACGCGCTTTCTGGAGAAGAACTCTCCCCACTCTCGGCCGTACCAGGGCATTTGGGGGCAAGTTCGTCCCGAGCAGGATTATTTACTGCAGGCTAAATCTCCTAGTAGAATTACGGGTTTACTCGAGATTATTCAAAAACCTGAACACCAGTTGTAGAGATAGTTTATTGTTGAAACTCGGTAAAAATCCACAGGCGTACAGATAGCAAGCACACCGGTAAAACAAGCGTGTGTGTGTGAGAGTGTTAAAAATCCATATATATTGATGAGTGTTAAT